TGCAGAGGAATATATATATATATATATATATATGGATATATATATATGGATATAATATATATATATATATATATATATGGATCAAAGATTTAAATGTAAGACCCACAGTTATGAAACTAATGGAACATAATATGAGGCATGCTTCAGGATACCAGACTGGGCAAAGATATTTTGCAGTTTTTTTGTTGTTGTTTTCTGGTACCAGCGATCAAACTCAGGACCTTGCACTTGCCAGGCAGGTGTGATGCCACTGAGCTACATCCCCACCCTGGGCAAAGGTATTTTGGATATGACACAAAAAGCATAGGGAACAAAAGGAAATACTGACAAATGGGATTACATCAAACTAAAAAGCTTCTGTACAGCAAAGGAAATACTGTAATCCAGATGAAAAAGGCAACCTATGGAATGGGATAAAATATTTGCAAACCATCAATCTGACAAGGGATTAATTTCCAGAATAGGTAAAGAACTCCAATGAACCAAAAACACACACACACAACACACACACACACACACACACACACACACACACTCCAATTAGCATTTCTCAAAAGAAGATATTTAAGTGGCCAACAAATATATGAAAAAGTGTTCAGCATCACTAATCATCAGAGAAATGCAAAGCAAAACTACAATGAGCTATTAATCTTACCTCGGTTAGAATGGCTGTTAACAACAAGAAGACTCATACACAAAACACTGGTGGGGATCTGGAGAAAAGGGAACTCTCACGCAGTGTTGGTGTGGATGTAATTAGTATAGCCATTATAGGAAAGAGGTGGCGTTTCCTCAAAGAAATAGAAACAGAGCTGTCATGTGAGCTAGTAATCCCAGTACTGTGTATATAGCAAAAGGACAAATCAGCTTCTTGAAGATACACCTGCAATTGTATGATTATAGCAGCATTATTCACAATAGTGGACCAACCTAGGTTTCCACTAATAGATGAATCAGTAAAGAAAATGTAGTACATACACACAATGGGATATTATTCAGTTATTAAAAGAAAGGGATTGGATGGAACTGGAGGACAATATGGTAACTGAAATAATCCAGGCATGGAAAGACAATTATGTGCCCCCACTTACATGTGGAAGTTAAAAAGCTGATCTCATGAAGCAGAGGTAGCAGCAGTAGTGACTCAGGCCTGGGAAGGGTGTAGGATCGCATGGTTAACGGGTCCAGCTGTATACAGGTGGACAAGAGGAATGTCTTCTAATGTTCCACATCACTGTAGACAACTGTGGTTGACAACTTGGGGACACCGGGGATCGAACTCGGGTCCTTGTGCTTGCAAGGCAGGCGGCAGAACCACTGAGCTAAATCCCCGGCCCGAGAGACAATTTTAAATGTTCTCAGGATAAATGTATATCTGACAGACATGTGAATTACCCAGATGTGATCTCACTTTGAAATATCACGATGTACCCCATCAACATGTATAATTATGTGTCAATTAAAATTTAAAAATTCGAACTCGGGTCCTTGTGCTTGCAAGGCAGGCGGCAGAACCACTGAGCTAAATCCCCGGCCCGAGAGACAATTTTAAATGTTCTCAGGATAAATGTATATCTGACAGACATGTGAATTACCCAGATGTGATCTCACTTTGAAATATCACGATGTACCCCATCAACATGTATAATTATGTGTCAATTAAAATTTAAAAATTAAAAGTAATAACTGTAATATATCAGGAAACATTACATTTAAAAATTCATGCATTACAATGGCACCTTAAAGAAGCCCCTCTGGTCACCACAGGAAGTAATGAGAGCAACAATACACTGCTGTGAAATCTGACAGTACTAGAGAAAGATGCACGCAGCCTGCACAACCTTGATTTCAAGGTGACCAGGTTTTCTCTGCATGAGCTGCTGAGGACGTAATGAATCAAAGGAGAGAGCAGGGGTGGGTGCTAAACCCTCAGGAAAGGGCTGGGAGGGGCCTGTGGAGGTAGAGTCAGGTGGCAGGACTGAGCCCACCGGTGGGCTTCTGGTATTCAAAGCAGCACAACAGACCCTAGAGCTCAAGGGGAGGCGACACTGTCATGGGCGGAGCCAAGCCTGACCAAACCGCCCACTCTGTGTGCCAGTGCGAACTGGAGGAAGGACTCAGTCACCCTGGCCACCCATGGCCCAGGGAGCAGCAGCCTCCAGAATCAGGAGGTGTAGATGCCATGAGCCCCAGGAGACTTGGTGCGCACTGCAGTGTGTGCTAAGTCATCTGAGGAACCCCAGGCCTGGCTGGGGGGACGGGACCCTACAGAGTAATAGAATCAGCAGACACAGCAGCCAGAGGACACTGACACAGGTGAGTCATCTAGAGAGACCTGTGAAGGCAGTCAGGGGAGTCTATCAACTTGGGATTAGGTGACAGTGAGGAATTGTTTTTAATTTTGTTAGGTGCCATAATGGCATGGTAGTTATTATTTTTTTAAAGTCCTTATAGCTGAGTGCAGTGGTGCACGCCTGTAATCCCAGCACTCTGGGAGGCAGAGACAGGAGGATCTTCTGGGTAACTGGGAAGCACCCTGTCTGTCTCAATCAATCACTAAAGACGTTAAAAAGACTGGGGATGTAGCTCAGTGAAAAAATCCTGGGTTCAATCCCCAATATCTCCCTACCAAAAATAAACAAAAACAAAACAGTCCTTGCTACTTAGACACGTACACTGTAGTGCCAAGGGTAAAGACTGACTCATCTGGAGTGTGTTTTAACTACTCTAGAAAGAGTCCCCCACCTCCCAGTGATTAGGGGAGCAAGGCTGCAGTTCGTCACAAAATTCCCTAACTGTGTCTGCGTGAATAATTTCCCATCATAAAACTCTGTTAGCAGCAGCAAGAGGAGATGGGGAGTGAACCGCATATCTGAGCCATGGGGCTGGGTGGCTCAGTAGTGAGCGCTTGCCCAGCGTGCGCAAGGCCCTGGTTCTATCCTCAGTGCCTCTACAACCACCACCACAAAAGAAGGAAGATACCAGCGGTACACTCGTAATGTCAAACACCCAGTGTGTGCTATATGCTGAGGCTGATGTAGGTGGGTGCTGTCACTGTTCAGTTTTGTAGATGAGAAAACTGAGGCAGAGAATGATCTGGGGCTTTTCAGGGTCACAGTAGAAAAGTGGCCAAAGAGGTGAAAACGGTGCCCAGGAAGAGGGCAGGCGGCGCCGGCTCAGGTGAGCGATTGGTGGGTGTGGATGGAGGTGCTGCAGTGCTCTTGGAGGGTGTCCGGCTGCAGCTCGCCCGGCACCGCAGCAGCCCGCAGCGCCCTTCTATGCGCGCCTGCCATGGGCACTGCTCGCATCAGTGTTCCCACGCGAGCGCTGGGGGTATCTTTCCTTTGCCCCGAGAGCGCTCCATGGTGCTTCTGAAGCATTCTTGCATAGCACATGTGTGTGCGTGTGCACACCCACACACACACACACACAGTGTGCAAAACCTGGGGATGTCCATGCAAGGACAACAGCCTCCCAGTTGTCCCTGCTATGCTGCATACCAGTCCCAGGGTAGGATCACTGGCGGGTAGGTGGGGGGACTTAAGATGCCTATCTACTGTTCTCTCAGCTTTCTGAAAATCTACAAATATTTCAAACTAAAAGGCTTAAGAGAAGCTCTGGGCTCCGGAAGTGAAAGAGCACTGATCACAGTGATTTCTCTCCTCTTCTCGCGAGGAAACCGAGCCTCGGAGTCCAATATGCCCCCACTGCTTCTCCATCGGGGTCCAGGATGTGATCACTGGCTACGTCCCTGCTCCTCTTCTGCCCTCACTCCCGTGCTGCCTTCCTTCCCCCCGTCTCCTCAGCCCCTAGGACCCCATCTCAGGCCTCCTCCCTCACCTCCTTCCAGGCAGTGGAGGTGACCAGAAACTGGCATTTCTGATCCACTGCAGAGGCCTGTTCGGGGCCCTGCCACTCCGGGCACCAGGGCTTCCTCTAGGGTCTTCCCCAGCTCTGCACTGCCTGTCACTCCGATGGACACAGAATCTTTCAAAAGCAGCAGATCTGATGTCACTGTGCTTGGAAAAAGCCCCATGGTCTGGGAGTCTTTTTTTAATCTTGCTCACTGGGACTTGCGGCAATCACCTGCCCACATGTAGGCAACGTGTCACTTCTCACAAAAGTCAATTCTACAGACTTACCCAATAGCACGTGAGCACTAAATACACAGTGTCGCTTGCAACTGCTCACTTCAGAGGCAGCACTACCAGGAGCAGTGAAAGGAACCGACATGCACACATTAATACTCCTTTTCTGTTTTAATTTTTCACTTTCAGCTTCCTTTTACTTCCACTCAGAGGAGCGAGAGGAGAAATGTATAATACAAGATGTTCCGAGTGAAACACTGATCACAGGTAGGTAAGATGTGCCTTGTCAAAGAATGAAGCCAGATGTCGTTTTATGGTTTTATGCTAATCTCCTGAAGTCAGTGTTGTTTGGCAATAAACATAATGCTGTATGGTCATCTCCTGATAGTTTATCAAGTTAGGCAAAGCCAGTGTGAAAACAGCCTGACGAGTCAGTGACTCATATATTTATGAAGCAGGAAGCCTGGCTTGGACCACAGAATCTGGTCATCAGTTTTTTTTAAGCAAAAGAATATCTGATGTGATTGAGCATATGAGCTGTGGCTGAACACTGGAAACACATGTGAGACCTTCAGACCAGAGTGCCGCAGAGCCACGGCAAAGTCTGCACACACCCTGTGCTACAAGCACAGCCTCCACAGACCAGCTTCATGCACCTCGGAGAAAGAAGCAAACTCCCAGCAATTTCAGAATGATGTGGGAAACCCAGAAAGATACCGAACATTCAAGCCAGATCAACATTGGGCTATCTGTATTCTTTAATGCAAGAAGACCAGCGGCAGCTAAATCTAGAGGTATTCTTTGCAAGATCTGATCACATTTTTTTAAATATCCTATTCAACCTAACACTGGGTAGTGCTGGATTCTCCTTTCGGTTCATCTTGGCCATTTGGCCATTGTGTTTCAGTATTCTGTTTCCAAGAGTGATGGCCCGGCCTGCAATAAATGCAGGAAGCAGGAGGGCAGACAGAACACAGCATGGGGTGGCACCTCAGGTGAGCAGAACAGCCAGGATAGACACGGTGGGCACTGAGTGGCAGCCTCTCCTGCTCTTCCGGTCACTGTGGGAGAAGCCCGAGACCTTGAAGTCTCGGCAAGATTTCTGAGTCCAGACCCCAGCGCTGTCAGCCAGCACCACGTGCAAGCCCCACCACAGCTCTGCGTCTTCAGATGGTGTGGAGCGCTCATCTTTGTAAGGCTTCCAGAACCTGGCCCACACACAGAGCCTTGGTGAGTCCCCAGTGAAGCTGACCATTTTTCTAGGAACTCTGGACTTCCCAGCCTGCATTTCAAGGGGCCGCAGGTGGAGTCCCTGACCCCTTGGAGCTGCTTGAGGTGGGAAGCCCAGTGCAGCTGGACAGTGTCTGGTACAGTCTGCTCTGCAGCCCTGGGCCCCCTGGCGCTGGCGCCTCATCCCAAGTCGAGTCTCTCAGTCCTTGTGTCCTTGCTCCTCCCTGGCCCGCTGCTACAGGCCTTTCTCGGTTCCCACTCTTCCGGGTCTCTGGCCACACTCCATGGGTGTTTAGGTTGAGAAGACAGAAACTATAGAATAAACCTGGAACCACAGCACATCACTAATTTTAGTTGTTCTTTAAGAGGACAGTGAGGCCTTGAAGTCCCACAGTTATGAACTTTGGTCTAGGGAACCATCTTGTGGGTCTGAAAGAAGCCACTGTGCTGCTTGGCCTCTGTCCCTGGGCCTGGGGCAACTCTGCACCTTTCCTGCGGAGCAGTGATGCCTTACCGTCTACAGGGCAAGACCGATGGTCCCACTGCTCCGTCTCCTCACCCTGGCTCTGCCATCTTGGTCACCGGAAAGACCCTGTACCTCCAGGGCAGTGACTCATCCCAGATTCCTCTCCAGGATCTCGTGCCCATACCACCCATGTCCACTCTGGGACAGAGCACAACAGTAGTGTCTGACTTGGGTCTGGCTGAGCTGGAGGCAGGGGCTCAGAGAGGAGGACAGGGCGGGTGCAGGCTGCAGCAAAAGGGTGCAACCCAAGAGAGAAGAGGACTTACCTGCTGACCGAGACCCAGGAAGGCGCACCCGATGGCAACTGTGTGCAGGCCCGGAGGACAGGCTATGGAGACAGGCAGAAGGGTGGGTGGCCCTGGAAAAATGGGGGACACAGAGGAACAGAGGGTTATTATTCAATAGGGAAAAACAGGACACATAGTAAAGAGTACAAAGCGAGAAAGAAAAATGATCTTACCAACCCAACTACATGAACAACTTCAGCGAGTCATGGTGTAAATGTGGCACAAGTGATAGTGGGAACAATCTTCCTCAGGTCAGAGAGGCCAGAAAGGCATGCACCAGGTGACGGGGACTCGGGCAGGGGGCATCCTGGAGCTCATGGGGACTGGTTCCTTGTCACTCACCAATGTGGTCACTGCTCTGTGCGAACGTGGGCACCGGTTTAAAGGCGTTGAGGACTGAATAGGTGTGCGCACTCTGCCCGCCTCTATTCTCCCTTCACTCTCTGCAGCCCAGTTTGTGGGCAAACGAGTGCTTTTGAACAGAACTGTGTTAACAGGTTACAGAATTAACACCCTGGTTGTTGAGACTTGATGACTCCACTGGCTGGTGTTTAACTGCCCTCAGGCCTGCATGTGCAGACCCTAACTTCTTGACTTGGCCGAGGACTGTGACACGTGGTCCCTCCTGAGTTCTTCTCTGTGACCTCTGACCCCGCATCCTCATGGAAAGGAGCGGCAGCCGTGTGGCACAGCCTGCTCTCTGTGAAGCTGTGAGCCCCTGTCCTTCCAGGTGCTCACAGCAGTCCAGCTCAGCCCCCAGCTGGACTCCAGCTCCCCTGAGCACTGCAGTCACCTCCATTCCAGGTCATCCGTTCTCCTCGCTAGAGGTCATCTTCCTGCCTCTCCTCTCCCCGCCGCTCTGCGTCCTCAGTGAATACCAGGCAATCACCCACCTGCCCACCAAGCCACTGCTCTAGACGCTAGGAATTAAAAACAAACAGTCTTGCCTTCATGGTGCTCCTATTCTTGTGGAGAGAGAAAGACTAAACAGGTAACAGAATTGTAGAGCATCACGACTGTAAGTGCAAGAAAGTCACAGCGAGAAGCACACAGGGAGCTGCCAGCACGGACGGAGAAGGACTCCCTCAGTATTGTGCGGAGGCTGGTGACAGCTCTGTTCCTTATCTCTGCACTGGGGCTATCACCCGCCCTGCAGCAGCAGGCACCTGGTTTGTCCTGGAGTTGCTACAGGTGCTCTACAAGGCCAGTTCCCACCCGCTTGACCCTCTCTGACTTGCTCACTTGGCCTCTGAGTAGCTATCTGTCCAAAACCTCCCAGAGAAATGGGTGTGGCTTTGACCGAACCCCTCCCTGAAAGGAAGGGATCGCACCTGGGAAGCAGAGGCTCAAGCTCCAGTGCTCTTCAGAAGCCAAGGAGGCAACACAGGGCTTAAGCTCCGGCCAAGGGCCCCCCTGGGACAGGAAGTCCTTGCTCGGAGAACCCACCTGGAGACTCCTAAGCCAGACACCTCTGGATATTTGATCTTGTTTGCCTCTACTCCACTTATTAATGTTTCTTAACCGTGAACTGCAGGCTGCTGAGTGAGAAATGAGATACACAGCTGTGCTGGTGAGGCCAGGGAAGATGAGAGAAACAAGGAGATAACCCTGGAGTGGCGACTGTAAACCTCACCACTCCTGTCTGGTGAGTGTCACACCGTTCACTCACTGGTCCTGGGAGATTTTTCTTCTTCAAGACAAGTCCTGTATCAAAGGCCGGGATTGGCGGAAAGGGAGGAGTGCCATGGGGCATACATCAGAATGTGGCGACTGTTTAGTAAGAGAACACTTGGAATTCAACACCAATCAGCAAACAATTCTACTCCTGGGTGCTCCCTTTGAAAGTGACCCAGTTTGATGCAAGCACTGTGCCAAAGGAGTGATGGCTTTGGTCTCTGTGTATCTGAGCACAAGTCTTAGAGCAGGAACCGCATGGGAGAGAGCTCCAAGTTAAATGGGTGCTATCTGTTATTCAGCATCCAGTGGGGTAACAGACCCCGCCTTGCAGGTCTTCCACACTTCAGTGTCCTTGCTGAAGCAGAGCCTGAGCTAAGGACTCAAGCGCCACAAGGGCAGGGAGAAGCTACAGGGTAGCTTTGGGTTAACTGCAGACCCACCCTGAGCTCAGGATCATATGGTAACTACAGTCGTGTGCTCCAGCAACCCCACGCCTTGATCTGCACCCAAAAGAAGTGAAAGCAAAGTCTCAGATAATTTGATGCCAGTGGTCATAGCAGCATTCATTATTCACAATATCCAAACCGTGGAAATAATGTTTATCATCAAACGAATGGATAAACAAAATTCAATTGCTTTACTTAGTGATCAGAAATGACAAATATATCAACGCCAATGTGAAGGTAAAGATATTCACCATCTCTACACTGGAAATGTCAACGTAGTAATGGGAGGGGGTCCCAAGTTCGAGAGTAGAAGAGCAAGCAAAAAGCGAACAGTTGTGTCCCAGGAGAGAAGCCCTCTACCCCCAGGGAACGGATGAGAAGGCACTGGAGTCTGCTGGTCACTAGGGAAACACAAGCCAAGCCCACTGAGACGCTGCTGCACACCCACCAAATGGCACGGCGAGGAGGACAGGAAATGTTTGTGCAAGCTCTGACACACTGCTGGCCCTGGGTAGGCACCCCGTTCCGGTATGCACCAAAGTTCAACGTGGGCACACACGGGCCACGTGAACACAGGAAATGTGCGCAAGTGTTACCCAGAAGACATGCATGAGAGTCTCCATAACAGTACTATTTACACTACCCCAAACTACACTCAGCTCAAGTGCCCGTCCATGGACAGATGGACTGTTAAACAGAATGAACTGTTAAACAGCAATGACAATAGAAGACCCACGCCTACTGGAACAATCCAGATGAAGCTCACAGGAACAAAGCTGGTTTTAAAAAGCCAGACATAAAGTACATATATTTATGTAAAATACAGAATCAGACAAAAATAATCTGCCTTTGAGCTGCCTTTGGGGGGCAGTGAGTGACCAGCGGTGTGGGCCCCTGGGATGTTCCAGCCAGTGTGTCTTGGTTTGCAGTAATGTGCTGGCTCTGTGTTGATCTATGCACGTTCCCTCAGCAACTGACACCCCGACTCAGAGTCCCAGAAAGGCTCTAGGGAAACACATATCCTTCTGGACCCAGAACACCCAAGAAAGATCAACAGATTCACTGCACTCTTGAAAGCAACTGTTTTCCATGCCCAGGTGCCTGTCATCAGTTAATCAGAGCACCTGGGCGCAGCCAGGTGCCAGCAGCACAAATGGTGCCAGGAGACCCCAACATAAAGTGAAAACCTCAGAAGCCACTAGACAAGACTATCTTTCCTCCCAAGTGACAGAGGAAATTTGCAGGCTCTTTTTCCTCGGCCTGGAAGTCGAAGTTTAAATGCCTTTGGCCATCCTGGAGGCCCCTTGGCTACTTCCAGTATAGGCAAGCAGGCGGGGTGATCAGTGAGAAAGTGGGGCCAGGTCCCGAAGGTCAGAGGGCATATTCATAGATTTGGATATCATCCTAAGAGCAACAGGGAGCCCCTGAAAGTTCTTAAGTAAATATAATACCTCCTCTGTCACTCACCTTGATGAGCCTTACACAGGAAGTTAATTGCGGTGAGTCCATTCTGAGTGATCACTTGGGCCCAGCAATGTTCTCAGGGCTATATTTTAATTTGTAGCTCCATAACTACTCTACAAAGTAGAGCAGAGCTACTGTCCCCTGCTTACTTCTGAGAGATCTCACACACTTGCCCAAGATCGCGCAGCCTTGTGTTGGCGCCAGGAGTCAACCAGACCGTGGGCTTTGAGACACCGTGTGAAAGGAGGGTCCCGTCCCTGTTCCTTTCATCCGTCAGTCAGAGAGGTACCACTCCTGTCAGCCACATTCTGTACTCAGAATTGGGCGACGATGCTAGATCTTTCTCATCAACAGACCTCTATTTAGCTTGTAGATCAATGCTTAAGACATGGAAAAGTACTTATAATAAAAAGGCTAGGGGGCCGGGGATTTAGCTCAGTGGTTCCAATGCCTGTCTCACAAGCACAAGGTCCTGAGTTTGATCCCCGGTACCAAAAAAAAAAAAAAAAAAAAAACGCTAGGACTGACTCCCCTCATCCCCAGGAGAGGGAAGCCATCGTATTAGATTCTTGGGCAGTGAGTGCCTCCATCACTTCGGGGAGTGTACTCTGAAACATGCTGACTGTGTGCCAGTCAGGATGAGAGGAAAAGAAATTCTAAGCCAACCTTACTGCCTTTTCATTATTACTTTTTCTATTCATGCTAAGAGAATGTCCATAGACTTGATGCTAACTTTTATGTGTAACTTCCATTGTATAGACATTGGTTTAGGAAGACTAAAATTAGGGAACTATGTTACTATAGCAAATAACTGAGATAAAGATAAAACTTTTCTTTGACTAAAAAAAAAATGGCTAGGAGAATAATGTCAAATGTCCAGAATTTGTAGGGGAGATTTTGCTTTCTACAATTCCCACAATGAATGCTCTTATTTTTCTAATACCACTCAAAGTGACCCACAATTCCAGCCTCAAAGACTCTTAATCTGGAGCAAGTAGGACACCCACTCACAGGGAAGGGTGGACTGCCGTGTCCATCCAGGAGGCCAGAAGAGGCACATTTCAGTGACCTGGGAGAAGGTGCCACTCCCACAGTACCAAGCGTGGCCTGGTGTGGGCAGCATCTAGCTTGTGGGGCTGGTTCAGCACACATGTCACACTGCCAAGCCCGTGGCATGAGTGTGGTAGTGTAATGTATCCTGCTCAGCCACTTACCCAGATTTTAGGTGAGTCACTTAGCCTTTCCAGGACTCAGGCTCCTCACCCATTAAACTATATTCTACTAATTTACAGGATTTAGCATTAAGTGGGAATTTAAGGAAAATACTGTATACATTGGAAGCTCTGTAATAGTGTGCAGATTTATCAGGTGTTTGCATAGAGCTTACAATGTGCTGAGCTCTGCATTAAGTGGCATACAAATATTAATTTGTTTGCATTTCATAACCTAAGAGAGATATGCCATTACCATTTTTGCTTTCCCAAGAGGGAAACCGAGGCCCAGGGCAGTCCGGTGTCTCACTGAGGATGGCACACCGAGTAAGTTGCAGCCCTGTTCCTCCTACCACGCAGTGGCCACACAGTGAGAAGTGTCACAAAGTGCCTTGCCCTGTGGGTGCTGGGGTTCTGTGGGAATGTTCGTTACCTGGTTCTTTGATTCATACCATTTGACCTTGATCCTACCTTGCTCTGGGTTATGCAATGCTTCTCTTCTGCCATCTGCTGGCAGCTCAGAACGTGACATTGAGGGCCAGGGTGTGGTGGCATGCATTTCGAAGGCTAGAGGATCGGGCAAAACAAGCAGAAGGGCCCCTCTTCTGTTCTGACAACTCAAGGCAGAACCATGAGCATTTTGACATGGCCCAGTTGACACTCATTCAGAATCCTTTACTGAACATGTACTGTGGGACTGATTTCCATTATTCCACAAATATTTATGGAGCCAAATGCCGCCTTAGGTCCGGCTTCAGGGACTCAAAGAGGGATGAAATGCCTCTTGCTCTCTAGTAGCTCACAGAGTGTGTTCAAGAGGCCTGATGTGAACCTAGTGTGCTGATAA